CTCCTGGATCGAGTGAATTTAATTGTGTTTGGATGAGAAGTATAAATATATACCATTCTGACACACTATTAGCTTGTACACAACCCATCACAGCTGCACGCTGTTAGAAAATGTAGTTTTTGGAGAAGTCACCTCCCAATAAATATCATTTTGGAAAATCTAACTGCTCACTTTTACTCAGTACTTTTACTTTTAAAACCACAGATTTTGTCAGAAATTTACTTTTGATTAAGTAGAAAAATTTTTTGGATACTTTGACTTTTACTCAAGTAAAATTTTTAAAGACTTTAACTTTTACCAAAGTATTTCTATAAGATACTTGTACTMTTACTCAAGTATCACTTTGAGGTACTTTTATACAACACCGGCAGTTACAAACTTGACCAATGTTTTAAAAAGGTATTGAGCAACTGTGATGTGGTAGTAGCTGAGAYCTGTCCAACACYTACTGCAGCCAGGTTTAGGATTATACAGTAAATTAGTTTGTTTTAGATTAAAACAAAAATAAATACCTGCTGCCAGATCTCACCTTTAAACCTTCACTTGGTTTGAGAAGTTAATGAGATTTATTTAGGTTTTCCATGTTGTTGGCCACTGGGAGAACTTTAGTGTAATGTTTGTTCCTCGTGTTTATAATTTAAGGCCAGTTTATATTTGACTCATTTAAATAAATATTTTGCAAGAAGCTTTTTTTTGTAACCTTTGAGGCTTAAATCCTGAAAACCAATCCAGACGAGCCAGGTTAGAAAAAGGAAATCATTTATTAAACATAACTGTATCGGCAGATCAGCCCACACACGTAGCATCAGATTCAAGTCACAATCACTCACTTTACTATTTACAGATAGGCACATTCACATTAGGCATTAAAGCCAGCCACAGCGTGTCCTGCAGGTCCAAACCTGTGGCAGGTTCGGGTGTTGCCTCTCAGTCCAGCAGGGTGGGGAAAAACTAAAATCAGTTTGAGTTATCAGTGTCGTCTGATCCAGGGTCTGTTTACCTGTTAAAGGATTGGCAACACTGAGTCAGAAATCAGGTTCAGACCGTTAAATGACTTCCTGTGTACGAAAAAACAGAAGCAGATGTTCTTCAGGTGAAATAAACTAAGATTTAAATTCTAATGAATAAGGAACCAATAAATCCTCAAACTATAAATTAACTTTAGATCAAATCAGTTTAAAAGAGATTCTTCAACACATGGGATATTTAAACAAATCATAAAGGAAATGTATCATCACATAGTTTAAAGATGACTAGCTGATGGGAAAAAAAAACCCAACTAAATGTCCACCTCAGCACACGCTTCACTCGTGACAAAACAGGAAGGAAATAGAAGTGTTAAGAGGTGTGCAATTTTCAAAACAAAAACAAACTAAACGTACAAAAAAACAGATTTTTAAAATAAAGCCAGTTCCTAAACTTGGAATAATCCTAATCCTTCATGCTTAGCAGGATTCTTCAAGACAGCAGCGAAGTTTTAGGGTGAAAAAGGAAACATCAGCCGTGAGATGTGAACATGAAGGAAGCAGTCGAACCAACAGGAAATAAATAYGTTTAACAACATGATGTTTTTTATGGAGACCATGTGAAACACCTGCCAGGCTCCACAGATTTACTCATCACAGCAACAATGCTACATCATAGGAATGAAAGAAACCCCAAAGTCTTAGGAAGAAGCTCAGCTGGCTATGGTACCAGTCAGGCCTTCCTCAGAGAGGACAAATGTCTTCTGTCCTGGAATCAGACCTGATGAAGTCCTCTGTAGGGTTCACCTGAGAGCGGTGCTGGAGGAAGAGCAGCAGAGGGGCATGATGGGAACCAATGGAGTGATCAGAGTGGACGTTACTGAGCTGTGAAGTCAGGACTTTACCATCAAAACACTCAGGAACATTCAGTTTGGTTCTCGTCATCTGRAAAAACCACCAGATCTGCTGAGAACGCCCAAAAGAAATGACTGAGCAGTACGATGACGTTAGCCCTGACTCCCACAGACTCTTTAACATGATTTTAGCTGATTTAAGAGCAAGCTAGTGTTTTTCCCTTGTGTGTCGACTCTGTTACGAGCTGATAGTTCTAATCTAATTTAGCCTCTTTTGCCCCAAACAAACAACTCTCTTCAGTCAGAAAAAGCACAGGGACAGGCAGGTTCTCATCAGTCAACATGGAACAAAGGAGCCTGTTGTTCTGTTAGTTCATCACTGTTGTTCTGAGACTGCAGTTAAGCCATGAACTAGTGCAGACGCACATGTCAACACTTAATGTTATTTAAGACTACACCCGACATACTGCTTAATACGTCTGGTTCTCAACAGCTTGTGTGGTATTTAATGACATCTAACAAGATGTTCTTCATTTCATGTATAAAGTCAACATTTTCCTCACAGCAAAAGGCTGAGATGGATGTGATCAGAAATTGGGCAAATTAAGTGCAGAAATGATGAGCTTACCGTCAGATCTTTAAATAAACACTGTTGGGTCACAAACAAGCTGAACTGAGACCAACATGAGGAAATGCTTTCTGATACCTGTCCTCCTCCTTCATGTTAAAACCTGCATCAGATAACTCTTACCTTGGCATCCTTAAATTCAACCAATAATTGGTATTTTCTGGAAAACATCAGTTTGACTCTTGACACAAACTGAAAGTAACTTATCTTGGCAGACTTAACTTTATTAAAGCAGGACTGGTTTGTTTCCTTGTGTTCAAACTGAGGCTGATGAACGACGAGACCCTGAACGCTCTTTGTCCTTAACCTGGTTGGATTTTGAAGCTGAGAACTAACTAAGTTCATCACTTTCTCTCCTCTCACCATCATCTCCTTCGTCCTTCAAGGGTTTATGTCCTCTGGGTGGACGAGACCACCTACATCCTGTACTTGTTGTGGACGTCCCTCGCCAGGAGGAAACAGCAAGTCATTGAAGAGCGTGAAGAGACGAGAATAAAGACAGGTGAAGGAGAGACAAACTACAAGATACCCTACGAGTCCTAAGACAAGTCCAGGGAGGTCCTACTCTCCTTGGACTTCCTCACTGCAGTCCTCCTCCTCCTCCTCGTCCTGCTTGTCTGTGTAAATGTCCTGGACCAGGAGGACTCTGGTGAGGAGGCTCTCCAGGACCGTTCGCTCCAGCGGCGTGGAGCTGAACCACACAGAGTCACCGGGGCTGCAGGCCGGATCGGGCTGAAGGTAGAAGACGTCGAGGCGTTTCCACAACAATGGCGGACTAGGGAGGAGGAGGAGCGAGTAAAAAGAGAGAGGAGCAGAAAACAGATAGGAATGAAGAAAAGCCAATCTACTGAACAAACAAAAAAAGCCTTAAAGATTTATTTTAAGTCCTCATCATTTAAGAGTCTACATCAAACTTCAGGATGTGAACAGCAATGAGTTCTAATCACAGGACTTAAAAGAATATTCAGATTTAACAACAAAAAATTTCACTAATATGTAATTACCAGTGGTGGGCAGCGCTAATCCAATAATTAGCTCAGCAATTTCTACAGTGCTAATGAAAATATTTAGGTCCGCAACTTCAAAAACGCTTATGCCATAGAAAAACTAGCAGAAGCTAATTTTAAAGCACAAGTTCAATTTGACACTTACTAGCTGACAATAATCCATGTACAAAATATGTACAACACTGCCAACTAGTGGTGTACGAACCCTTTTATAACTTAATCCTACAACCACCGATTGCTGGGGATGTGATTTCCTGAAACAGACCTTTGGCTCCTGGTGTAAAAATTAAAAAAGTTGTTGAGGATTGCTAGTTTGGCTGATTCTTTGTCTTTTTCTTTTGTTTGTTGTAGAGTTTTCATTAAAGAAGCATCAATAAAGTAATTGTAAATCTATTTATCAGAAAACTGAAGCGATGCATTCTGGGTACATGACGGATTTGATTTGAGATGGGAACAAAAGCACGGAACCCAGGAAACTATCTTCCCTTCAAAATAAGAGCTTGGATTTTAAAGTTTTTCATGTAGTTGCTCCAGTTGACCACTAGATGTCTGTCTTCATCAGCCTAACATCTTTAAATCATTTCTGCGTCTCAACACAGTTGGCCGATTGCTTCGACCAGTTACGTCAAGTATTGAGCTCCAGCATTTAAGCTTTTTTTTAAAAAGGAGCTCCTATTGTAAAGTAAAATAAATCAATACATACAAAATTTTAGTATGGATTACAAACGTTAAGTGTTTTTGCTATTCCTGCTACGTAAGCAGACAAAGCATTGTGGGAAATCAGAACCGTGGCTGAAAGCAACAGTCATCAATAAGTGTGTTTATCTGGGAAGGGAGATGTTGGATAGATCACGTGTGTTGTGATTCATTGACATCCATACCTTCCACTGTTCAAGATAATGATGACTGGTAGATAATTAGTTATTTGCTGTACTGCATTTTAATTTTAGAAAGCACAAATCTGCTTGTGAATTATAAAAATTAGTAAGACCGCTAAAGCGCAAATGAAATATTTAGGTCCACAATTAGCGGATTTGCGCTTTAGCAAGCAGGTGCCCACCACTGAAAATTATGAATTAGATTAATGGTAATTAAAGAAGTTTGTTCAATTATTTTCTCATAGGGGACAAAAGTTTGTAATTTGAAGGTATCACTTAAGCAAAAGTTTGTTTGAGAAGCTTCTTTCATGCTTCAGAATAAAACAGGTTATTTGTAGTGAAGTAGATTTAAACTTCCCATTTAAAGATCGTTTGATTAAATTCAGGGAATAATCCAGTGTGTCTCTGCAAATAGTGTAAGTTTTACTAATAAAGATTTACCATTTGGATCTGTAGAGCTCATACAGACGACACTCATGCTGCTTCACTGGGCACCGAATAGACGAGTCCCCCGAGTCCTCGTCTTCGTCCTGCTCGTCCTCAGTCAGCCTGCGCTTCCTCTTCCTGGATTCTGTGTGCACTTCAGCCAGAGAACACAACAAATTAACACATGATATTTCTGAACCAGGAAATACTTCACATCCATACATCAGTGTCTTTAATGTGTTGGTGGCTAAAAAAAGGCTAAATGTGAGTTAATCTGAATCKATAATCGTGTTCCCATCCAATTGTAGAGTGAATTTTTATCGAACTTTTCAAAATTCGCAAAAAATTAAATAAAAAAAAATTCGAATCTAGACCGTTTCCATCCAGTTTCCCTCTCGACTGTTTGATGCAAATAAAAGAGGCTATGCAACGCGTGATTATGTAGGGGTCACCTCGAGTGAAGAAACAAGATTTACTGCCTCTAAGCAGGCCTCGGACAGGCCTGACGAGAGGACAGGAACTCTGTCACAAACTGAACTCTATTTTAGGCCATGACAGGTCATTCTAACCGTGGAAGAGAACCCCTCAGTTCTCTTAATCAGATAATGGACAGAACTATCTCTTCTGTTCGTGATTCATGCGTTGTTCAACTAAGAATTTTTATGTATTTGTTAAATCATGATAATGACTGTCACGGGAAAAGTGGAACCACTTCTTTTCTTTTAACCAGCGTAAAAGATGAAGAATTGAGTACAATGTTTTCATTGTGTTTTTATGTAAATCACTGTTTTTATTTTGCTGTGAACACAGTAATATAATTGTGGATTTTTCTTGAGAAAATCTTTCATTTATCTGGACTAACAGAAYGTTCAGAACTGATTATAAAACAGAAATGTTAATTAATCATCATAAATGTTTTGCAGTGATTTCTCAGAGTCTATCAGAAGAAAGCTGAAAAGAGGTTATCATATCATGTTGTTGAACAACCACAGAATTTTAACCTTGGGCTGGCGCCGGCTGGCAAATCTTTATCTTTCTTTCTCTGACTCATCTCTAAGCCTGAGGGRGGAACCAAAGTTCGTCCGTCTCTTTTACTAACCCGGATGGCTGTGAGCAACACACTCTTCTTCCTGGTTCCAAACTAGGAAGACAGCTGGGATTCTCTCCGGAGAAACCCCAGTTTGGCTTTAAGTCTGATCCCATGAGCTAACTAGAGAAGACTTCCCAGCCAGGGACCCGGCACGCCTGCCGGTGGTTCCAAATCGAGGCTTCAAGCCTCTAAGTGTGTTTTTAACTCCCGAGGGGAGATTTTATTTTGTAAAGAGGAACCGGATACGGCTTGAATTTTTCTGGCTTGGACTGAAACAGAAGCAAGTTACCCGGAAAAACACCTGTTCGCCAATGACCGGTAAGCGAGCCGACATCAGTTCCCTGACTYATCGGAGGCGAGCCAGCTCCTACCCCGAGGGTGCCTTAAGAAGACATCATCAGGTAAAAGCTGATGTGTTCAGAGTTACGTGTCATGTGGAACCTGAGCTTAGAAAAGACGTGCAGTTCTGGTTGACCCACACTTTGATAAAAGTAAAAGTAGTAGTAATATACTAATCTTACTTTCCTCCTTTCCTTGTTCTTAATTTGCCAAAACTTAAGCTAAACGTGCCAGTAAAATTGTTTGGTTGTTAACATCAGAACTGACGTTTTACTGTTCTATATAAGTAATCTGAGTTGATGTGAATTGAAATTCGGACGCGGGTTTTATCTCATTTAACTCCGACGCTTGTTATAGGAATAACCACAATCAAGTGTAACTTATGATCTGTTCAATTTGTGTAAATAAATGATTGCATAGTCTTTTATGAATCAACTTGAACTCTTCGCACAGTCAAGATATTAACAAGTAATGAGAAATACCTTGGTAAAAGTTTCCTCATAACCTTGTGTATGAGAGATGTGGGAAAAGCTTAATTCACTTTAAGCTCACTCTTACAATTACGTCAGAAGAGGCTACGCAAAACGTGATTACGTCAGACGTCGGCGACAAGCTTTGCAGTAGTAAACAGGAAGTGAAACTTGCTAACTAGCAGAGGCTAATCATCTCGGGACAATGGAGCGATTTTTTCGTGAATGCCTTGCTATTGGGCAAGTTGTAATTATTCTATCTATTCAGCTAGTACAGGCTATGTTTAACGCTGCCAGGAGACGTAGGGAAATAAACGCAATGTTAAACTACGCAGCAGAAAGGCACGTGCAACTACGCCAGGATGAGGCAGGAAAGCGGAAACAGCTGGACGTCACGTGAGGTAAATATGCGCTGCATCAGAATTTCTTCGGCAAACGTTTAAATCTCCCGTTTTACGCATTAACTACTTTGCGAATCATCCAAAAACCACCTCAAGCGAGCGTAAAAACTTTTTAGCGAATTGAGGATTTTTTTTCACGAATTTTGCTGTTTCCATCTGACTTTTCTTCGCATTTTTAATGCGACACTTCTAAATGCGCATCAAAAAGCCTTGATGGAAACAAGATTCTTTACTGGTGGATCATTGAAGCTGTTGGATTATTTACACAAGTGAAATTACAACAAAATGATTTCTTTCCTTTGAGATCTGAATAAACTTTAATTCCTTCATTTACTGTATCAGCACTTTGCATACTTCTTGTTAATTTAAATAATTTTGGTGTCAAGTTTGTTTCATCATATTTTCCATTTTAAATTAAAGTATCCAAACAGCAGCGGATATGCCGGGTGTTCCAGGCTCACCCTGGTGATCCTGAGAGATGGAGGGAACGCGGATGCGAACGGTCGTCTCCTTGGTGGCAGGATGGATGGAGTCGGGGCCGTAGACGTTGGCGAAGGAGAGGCGCAGGTGCTGCTCCACGGTGCGCAGGCTGAAGTATTTGGTGTTGAGGTAAACCAGAGAGCGCAGCAGAGCGGCAGGACTCTGCTCTCCCAGGTGTCGACTACTCCACAGACTCTGCTCCTCCACCCGGCCCCACAGAGAGCCTGAGGAGAGCAGGAAACACCTCAGTACCTGCTCCAACAGATGAACACCTACCTTCACTGAGCTGAACTTCAGCTTCTTTAATGTCCTCATACAACTTTCAAATACAATCACAGGATCTGAGGATCTCAGGATGTGAACAGCAGAAGAGTTATAATCACGGGACATTCTCAAAGCGAGCCACAGAAGCAGCTGTGTGGCAGCAGAGAGCCAGCCACCAGGTGCTGCTGACAGCAAACATTCAAGCCCAGTCCAAAACCTGCCGGGGCGCCACTTCACTGTGTCTTTCTTATCAGTGACACTTTCCTGTCCAGGCGCCACACTCACATCCAGCTTCACGTAAAGGCTTCAGAAATCAGCCAAGCAAATTTAAAGGGATCCCCGATTAGTTGTAACTTTAGACTTTATTTGATAAACATTTATTTTAACTGTAAAATAAAGGCTGTAAAAATACTGTAGGCTGTTTAGTTTTGTAAATTTTTAAAATATATTTTAACACGGACGGAGCCATTTTATTTACACACAAAGCATTCTGGGTAAATGATGACGTGGATAGGTCCTCGGTGTGAGCGAGCTATATCC